TTTTATAGAATTTAGTTTTCCATGAGATTGTGGTTATTGTTGGCTTTACCTTTGCAGACAAACACCATAGTTCAGTTCTCCCTCTGCTCTCTGTCCATCAGAAATGCTTCCAGAGTTCTTGTCCTGAGCTTTCGTTGTAGTAACTAAAGTCTGATGTGCACGGGAGGGGGAAAACAGCACTTGTAGGAAGTAATTTACACACTGCACTTGCTGCTCATCTCCTTGTCAGGCTGACAGAGCTTATTTCCCCACAAACACATTCTTCCCAGGAGAGCTTTTCCCAGGCCACTGTTGCTTTTGGCAAAATCCACTTATCCCTCACAAGGATTTTGATTATTATTTTAAACAACTGAATGGATACCGGGAGAAGGGTTGGAATCCAGACCAGGACTCAAGTGTCTAAATACCAAAAATCTTGGGTTTGACTAATGTGGATATTGGAGACGTTATTGGAGACACTTGAATTCCAGCTGTCTGTAGGTTTGGAGTCCTTGTGTAGCTAATATTCTGTGTAGAGCTGCCCAGAGCAGTGAAAAGGAATTCCCTGTATAGTTTGTGCTGAACAAATTCCCTCTGGATTGCTTTGCCAGCATTGGTGGTGTGTCATTCAGGGAAGGCAGAGGGACAGCTCCATCCCTCTGAGGTGGGAATGTCTCCGTGTCCTGGAGAACGTGTGACAAGTGGGAGTGCAAGTGGGTGCATTTAACATGAATAAAGTTCTATATTCTGCGTAACCTTAAGTTTGTTGTCATTCCCAGGTTTCAGAGGGCATTAAAAACTGTTCTGGGCAACCAGATTTGTGCTTTACCTGCAGCTGCTGCTGCCTCCAGCTCCCCAGTGCTGATGGGGTGGGTGCAGTCGGTGTTGGGCTCTGCTGGGCAGCTCTGGAACAGCTCCATCTGCTCCAGGACCCTCAGCTTGCCCTGGGCAGAGCTGGGATTGCTGCACCAGGGAGGATAATCCAGCCTGCCCTGGGGGGGCAGGAAAAGGTGCTGCCTCAGAAGGTCAGGGTTTGCTTTTGGAGCCCCTCAGTCCTGGTTCAATGGGAAAGACCCCAGAGCTGGAATTGCTTTGTTTCAGGGTCCAAGCACCCAGCTCCTTTTGCTGGGCAGGGTAGCAGGAGCAGTGTCTGTTGGAATGTGGTGCTCCACAATTCCCAGGTGGGCTGAACATTTTGGAAGGAAGGGGGCAGGTGGCTGCTGGTGCCGAGCAGTCCATGGAGAAGGGGATGAGATCAGTGCTGGATAAAAGCCTTGCTCTGAACCTACTCCTAAAATTGCCTTTTTTCCTCCTTCAGTGTTCTGAATTAAACCCAAACCCCGAGCCAAGTTCTTTTTTTAACCTCCATCTCTTCCCTCATTTGCCTTAATTCCAGTGCTGCACTTGGAGAAATAACTGATCAAAGTCAGGATCTCCCTTTCCGCCTCTGAAGGCACAACTGAGCAGTTCCCTCTGTGCTGTGTCACTCCAGCCCCCACATTCCCAGCACTGCCCAGCTTCCCAGATGGGACACGTGCTGCTGGCAGCAGCTGGAATGTGTCAATTAGAGCTGGGTCTGGCCAGGAGAGCAACTGCTGACGTCAAACCATGAATCAGCCTCTATTAGGGGATGGGAACGTGGGTTTGTTTGGGTTTGGGGAAAGGGGGGAGGGAGCAGAAGGAAGTTTAGATGGAAAAAGCAAAGGGGGGGGGAGGGAGAAGATGTTTAAGTGGGTCTGAGATGCAGAAAGTTGGGAAGTGGGGGTCAAGTAGGATAAATGAATGCAGGGGACAGGAGAAGGAACTGGACTTTCATGATCCCTGTGGGTCCCTTCCAGCTTTGGATATTCTGTGGTTCTAAGAACATGCTGACATTCCTGGAGGAAAGGCAAGCAATGATTTTACTTTTATTTGACAGAAGCAAAGTCCTCAGGCAGCGCAGTGGATAAATAAAGCAGGGCCTGCCCTCGTGCTCCCAGGGCTCAGTGAGGGGTGACCACAGGGAAGAATCCTTTGCAGGGGTCATTTTAAATTTAATTTGGAAAAAAGGAAACACTTCTGGGAAAGAAAAAAAGGGATTTTGAACCCTGGAAATATGTGGGTCCAGAGGACTTCATCCTCTGAGTTAACACACTGCATTTGAGGCACAGTTTTGCCCCAGAGCAAAGTCTCCCTGTCTATTTCAAATCTCTCTTAATTTTCTGGCTGTACTGTACCTCATAGCCAGGCTTCACACTTCTTTGCAATATGGCACGAGTTCACATTTATTTAAAGAGATATAGAAACTCCTCTGCAAACACGTTGTTTCCCTGAGCCTGGTTCCTGCTGGGGGGTGGGTTTGAGGGGCTCAGTGCTGCTGCTCTTTTTCCTCTCAAAACGCCTCAGAAAGATGAAGTTTCCTCCCCGGGGGGCTGCCAGTCCAGTCTCTCTGTGCTGATACATCTCAAGAGGTCCTTTGGATTTCCCTCCCACTCCTGCCACGCTGGACCTGCTGGATTTGCACACCTGGCTCAGCTCCTTTGCTGCCCCAACTCCCTGCATGTGGAGCTGCCTCTTCCCTGGAGGAGCATCCCGGTGCTGCTGCCAAAGCCCAGCTTCAAGGCTCTGCTCCTCAGTTCCCCTCCTGTAAAATCCTGGGTGTTGTGGGTTTGGGGAGCCCTGACTGACCCACTGCAGGGATGAGGGGAACAGGGAAAGGCCTGGGAAGGAGTTTCTGGTTCTAGAGCAGGGCTGGAATGACAAATAAGGCCCTGAATGAGGATAACACTGAATCCCCACTGTGGAGCATCCTCCACTTGGGCCCTTGGCAGGGCAGCTGTCTCAGGGAAAAACAGCCAGCATTTGGAGAGCTTGAGGGGTTTATTATGCACAGGAGCTCTGGAGAGAGAACAGGCAGCCACATTCCAGGCTTTTCCCTGGTTTCTGAGGACTTGGATTTGTGTCTCCTCAGTGATGTTCTTCTGTTGCTGTTGCAGGGAGTAGTTACACAATTACCTGCTTAATTCAATACCATGAAGTTGCTGGAAAGACATTTGGAAACGTGACTCTGAAGCCCTCTGGCCTCAGCAGTCCCAGAGAAACTCCCCTGGGGTATTCCTATATATATATATAAAATATATAATATATAATATATCATATATCATATATCTCATATTTCATATAATATATAAATAAAATATATATTCTTTATCATACATATATTCTGTATTCTATATATTCTTTATTATCTGTTATATTTTATATATATTGTATAAAAATAGATTTTTAGATCTATAAATATATATTTATATTTATTTTCTACATTTATATATTATATAATTATATATAATAGGATATAAATAATAAAGGATATATATATTCTTATATAAAAGCAAAGACTCATTTTAAGTCAATCTCATGACTTTTCTTGAGTGAACAAAGCTATTTGGAGTTCCCCAGCACCATCACAGCACAGGAAACTTCTCTTCTGTAGCAAAGCTGGGTGAAACATCTTGGGGAATAAAGGGGGGAGACTCAAGGCAGGGGTGGAGACAGTCTTGGGGAGCTGCAAACATGAACTACAAGCCCTGGAGGTCCAAAGGGGCTCTTTCCCTGCTCCCCATTTGCAGGAGCTCATTCACAGCACATTGAGCTCCCCAGGGCACAGTGGGGCCTCTTCCCTTCCTCTCCAGGAGGCTCCTTACTGTTGTTGGGGGTTCTGTGGCCACCAGCCCAGAGATGTGGCCACCAGTGGCTCCTGGCTCCAAGATCCCACGTGTGACTCCTTTTCCCACCCTTCCCACAGCTCGTTGCCACCAGTCTGGCCCCAAACTGGTACCACGTGGTGGCCCTGAAGTGCAGAGCCAAGGGGGAACCTGCTGCCCACACGGGAGCTTCCAGGGGAGGCTCCACCTCCTGGGCTGCTGCTGAATGGGGTGCACTGGGGACAGAGGGGGTTTGCAGCCCCACGCCCCGAGCTGCTCCCCAAGGTCATGGCTAATGCCCCGCTGGGAGAGCCCATGGGAGGACCTGCCCCAAAGGGGACCTCTGTCACATGGCAAAAGCAGGAGGGATGGGGAAAACCTCAGCAGTGGGAAGGAGCAGCAGGGAAGGCCAGAACTACCCGAGGTGTTGTGCGAATGGTCCCAGAAACCCTTGAAGGAAGAGGCAGAACTTGTGCTTCTGGAGGTTGTCTGAAGTGATGAGGGGAAGGTGAGGAGTGTCACCAGCCTGGAGACTGTGTGAGCTCTGAGTGCATGTGAGGCCACAGCCCTGGAGAGACCCTCACCCTGTCCTGGGCTCTCAGTCTCAATTTCAGGCTGGGGAGCCTCAATGCTGAGTCTCACACACTCAGGATTTTGCCTCTGTCCATACAGAGAGCCTTGTAAAAGACAGAATCATAAAATCACTTAGGCTGGAAAAGACCTTTAATTAAGATCATTGAGTCCAGCCATGAATTCCCTGTGCAGGGAAGCAGCTGCAGGCACTGCAGCCCAATCCTGGGAAAGCAGGTGCAAGTACTCCAGGCAGCAACTTGACTTGTGGATGGTTTTGGCCTCCCTGTCGATCCTTCTCTCTGAGATTCTCCCTGTGCAGGTGGAGGTTCATGGGATGGGGAGAAGAACAAAGCCCTTCACTGGTCCCGTGGTCATGTAGCAAGAGGAAACGTGAGTTTGTAACTCCTTGTTGTTTTCTCTGCAGTGATTTCTATTTCCTCTCACTCTCCTGGTGACCTCCTCCTGGGTGTTGTCCTGTTATCTGGGGTGGTGTGAGGAGCCTGGGCGGGACAGCAGGTTCCTGACCTTAGTCCTGCAAACATTTCAGTGGAAGTTGTGTGAAACACCTGTGGAAATGAGGGAGAGACCATGTCAGGGCCATAAATACAGCCCCAACCCAAAGCCTGGGTGTGAACACACAAGCACAATGAGCAGCAGCATCTCTGGTGCTTCCCTGGAGCCCATCCTGCAGGAACATTCAGCCCAGCCTGGGTTTGCTTTCTGTCACTTCCAATCAGCCAAATTCAGTATCACGTTGCACAGAGAGGCTCGGGACAGAAATATGGGCTTTGTGTGGCATAAAAGACACGTAAAAACCCCTTGGGGCAGGAGGAAATGACTCAGCACAACAGCTCTGTCCCTTCTAATGGGATCTGTGCTTCAATCCTGCCTTGAGCGTCTCCACGTGCTCTCCACACTCCTCCCCCTCGTGCCTGGTCCTTAAAAATCCCAACATCAGCCAGTTCATACAACTGCTCCTCACGCCTTGTGCCTCTCCCTGAACCAGCCCTGAGCTTTCTCCTGGCCCTTCTCTGGGGCTGTTTGTCCTGCTTTTCCTAAGTTCTCAACTTGCAAAGCCCCTCCAGGACTCCTTGGCTGATCCTGCCTTTCCAGGTGGCCTCTCCTCATCGCTGCCCTTGGAGCTGCATCCCTTCAGCAGGTCAGTGAAACCACCCAGCCCTCGGCTCTCTCTGCTCTCCCAACCATCAGCAGAGATCTTTGGTTCCCCTCTCCCAGCTCAGGGAACTCAGCAATCCTGCCTTCACTTCCTGCCTTCTCAACCTGGTGAAAAGAAACATTCCTTGCCTTTTTCCCCGAGCTCTGAGTTAATCCCAGCTGTGCTTCCATGCTCCAGGGCAGGTGGCACTTTATGTTCCAGCCTCCCGTGGGAAATGTGGATGTGCACGTGCACAGCAGTTCCTTTCTCCTTCCTCAGTACACAAACAGCTTGAGGGTTTTTAGGAATGTTGGATTTAACTAAAAATAGTCCGGACAGTTCAGCAAGGCCATGAGAGGTTCCTGCCTCCCAAGAGAGTTGGCTTTGTCCTGAGATGGAGCCAAGGGTCAAGGGGGAAAAAAAACTTAATTGTGGATTAGGAATTACTGTTCCCAAATGATTTAATTGACTGATTTGCTTCTCTGGGCTTGGGCAGATTTCGTTTTGTGTTGTTTTGGTTCTTGTTACCCTGAGGCCTTTCCTTACCTGCTCTCTCCATGTCAAGGAAGGTGTTAAGAAACTCCTTTCCATGGGAAGTGGGGCAGTTATTGGGATCTGCTCAGCTCTGATAAGGATCAGGAAGTGACACTTCCTTACCCCACACTGTACTTGGGTTGGATCCTGAGCCCTGCTCTGTGCTTATCCCTGGAGCAGCACAAAGGCAGCAGCACAGACCCACGAGGTTCATGGAGAGCTTTTCCAGCTCTGCACTTACAGAGAGGAACCAAACTGTGCTGAGTCTTCTTTGGGAGGACATTCAGCTCCTGGGAAACAGCAGGTTTGGCACTGAAGCCAAAGTTCTGAGGAGGAATCACTGTTTCATCCTGAACTGTTAGAACAAAGGAGAACAAATCCACCAGTCACCACTAATTAATTTTATTTTGAAATATTTACTTGGGCTGAAGTAGTAGCTGCTCTTAAGTATTTAAAGGATTAGCTTCCTGCTAGTCTTTCGTGCCTGCAACCATTTATTTAAGCTGTTGCTGCAAATCGTGCTGTTAACCTGTCAGGAGAGGCTTTAACCTTCCTTCCCCTGTCAGTGGGAAGTGCCTGGTGCACATGGTCCTGCCGATGGGACAGGGAGAATTAATACACCCCCAGGCTGGTCTTCTGGGCTCTTTCCCCAGCTTCTTCAAGGAGGGGGAAGAAGAAATGAAATATGGCGATAATTGTCCACACTAGGATATTGTAAAGCCTAGGGAGGGGCTGTGAAAAGTTTAGGGAACATGAGCTGTTTGGAAATGCATCCTGCTCCTGTTACCAGGGTAAATAATTCCTGTCCCTCCTGCTGAGCTGCCAGCAGGCAGCAGCTCCACTGCACTCAATCCACTGCACTCAGCCTGACCTTCACTCGTGTTCCTCAGACCTTCCTGCATTGTGTTTGGTGCAGGTGGTCAGACCAACCCACCCAAACCAGCTGCCCAGGGAGAGTTCAGTCACACAGAGCGACAGATTCTGAGCTAAGGCCGTGTTTGGCAAAGGGAATGTCAGTGGATCTAGAACAAATCCGTGAGGAGTTGAGAACTCACCTCAACCAGGATTATTTCTTGCTCTTACACACATATTTAGTGTAAAAGGGAAAGATCTCAGGTCCTTAAACCTTCAAATAGTAATTAGCATCGCCATATAATTTTCTAGCAGTTGCTTTCATTAACATGTCATTAGAAGGAGTCTGCCAGCTCCTATAATCCTCATTTCTCTTGTCTCTCAACATTAACAGTCCATGTCACAGCACGACTCCTTCCCTGATATTTTGGATGGTTCTTTTCCAGACAAATGCCTTATTTTCTCTGTATTTGATACTGCAGGTCAAGTGAATCCTCTCTGCCTTTCGTTGCACGAGAACAGAGGCAGGATTGTAACTCAGCCAGTGCAAATGTGCTCCTAAAAATAGGCCAGTGGATGGTCTCCAACTTCAGACACAAAAAGTGTGTTTGTAAAGGTTTCTCTTTGTTGTGTGGCCACATTTCAGATCGCTGAGGAGACACTTCAAAGTTCAGCTCCCAAACAGCTCGTGGATTAATCCTCCCGCATGAAACAAAGGCAGCTCTTTGACTGGACCCGTGGTCGGATGTGACTCGGAGCTGGCAGCAGCTCCACTCGGGATTTATCATCCCTTTAGCAGGGTCAGTGCTCCAGGACACTGTCCCAGACGGATGCCTCCTCCCCCTGGATACAGGCTGGGTCTCCAGAGGGAGAGGCAGGGCCACATCCCTTCTCCCACCTCTGCCTTAGGCCTGGAAAACAATTTCACAGTGGCAAGAGGGGCCAGAGCTTGCAGGACACTGCAGCGACACTGTTTGGCACCAGTGATGAGCAGCAGAGGTGGCACTTCAGGCAGGGAAGGAATCAATTGATTAAAGGGCAATTTGGGGGCAGAAGTTGGAGTTCATCGTTCCAGGCTCTCTCTGGATTTCCTTTTTGTCCTTCCTCTCTCTGACTTTGTGTGGGCTGTGAGCCCTCCAGGGCATGGCCTGTGCCTTCACCTGTGTGCAGGAACCCAGTGGGGGAGCTGTGCCCAGTGAACTATAAATAGGAGCCTGTCCAGCCCTGTGGCATCTGAGCTTGCTAAAATTGCCTGTTCTGCACTCCTGTGACAAGTGTTGACTCAGCTGTCGGGGAAAGGAGGAACTGAGAAGCGTCTCCACAGGCGGTTCCAGCGCCGGGGCTCCCTGTCGAGCTCTGCTTTGGGCTCAGTTCTCCCTTTGCCTCTGGGAGTTCTGCTTTTTCTGTGTGTCAGTGATGATTCCTGGTGTCTGCCCAGTGACATTTGGGCAATTCAGTTTCAGAAGGACTTGTGGTGTCACCTATTTCACTGTCCAGCTTGTGCCTCAACACCTCACGCTTTTATTTCGCCTTTCGCCCCTTGCTGGAGGAGGTTGACTCTGCAGCAACGTTTTTGTGCCATTCCTGATGTCACTGTGTGGTTTTGTCACTCTCTGCTCACACTGGGGATTAAATGAGTGACAGGGATGAAAGGGATGAGGAGGTTCAAGCCCACCCCTTCTCTCTGAGAAGGTCGTGGATGTTCTTTGGGAATGACTTTCAAGGGGGTAAAAGCAGGGATTGTGTCTGCTCTCACTTCTCTGCTGAGGGATAAGTGAGCAACCACGAGGGTTCTGCCTGTGCTTTGCAGAGTACAGGACCTTCACTTGAACTCCCAGTGCAGGTGGCTGAAGAAAACCTCTTTTATTCTGTACTAGAAAAATCTTCTAATGTACTTAAAATGATTTTGTGCACCATGTCCACACCCTGCTCAAAGTAGTTGAAGTGGGAATAAGTTGCTCTGGTCCTGCCTACCCACACCTGTCCACAGAAGCTGCAGTTTATGGACACAGCTTTGAACAGCCACACGTGAACGTGACACGAGGTGGCAAATCCCAGCTTGTCTCCTGCTTGGAGACCATCCCTGCAGATGCCACAGGCTCCATCCTGGCACAGAACACCAGGGTGAGTGCCTCAGGAGCTGTCAGCCCTGGGCTCCTGCAAAGCCTCTGCTGCTGCCACAGCTGCTCAGAGGTGGGAGATGTGGCCCCAGCGACTCAGCATTTTGGCAGGACAACCTGGCAAAAAGGGAGCAGGGGGGATAAACACATCCTGCTTTCCTGGGCCCCCCTGCTCCCACTCTTCCCGGGATTTAAGGGCTCTGTGAGGGGCTGTGCTTTTGAGAAGAGGACTGGGAATGAACTCAGAGAGGTGACTAAGCCCATCTCCTCTGTCTGACAAATCCAGGCTTTGCTCCTGACTCAGCAAATGCAATGTCATCCCTTGGGTACAGCCCTGAGGTAGCAGGCAGAGCAGCATCAAGGAGATCAGCCTCTCCTCCAGAGCACAGCTGTCCAGCTGAGTTAGTGTCACTGGGAGCATTCCTTATTACCCTTCCTTCCTTGTATTCCTGCTAAAGCTGGGGTGAAAACCCTGTGGCCACTGTGGGTTGAGCACCACTGAAGGGAGCAGAGGAACCTGTCCTGGGTTGTTTGTTCTGTTCTGGCTGCCAAAATCTCCTCTCCATTTACAAAATACTTTGCATATCCCAAGCTGAAGGAAGGTCTCCTCTCCAAAAGCCACAGAGGTGAAACCATCATGACACGACCAGCAGGGACCCAACAGTTCTGCAACCAGGCAGATTTTTGTCTCCTGCTCACCTATTGATTTATTTATGATGTGAATTCAGGTGGCTGTAACTCTGCAGTCTCTGCTGTTTCTCCCCTGATATCACAAGCACAGCAGCACCTCTTGGATCTCTGGCTGAACCCTCTGTAATTTGAGTACTTGGCCCAAAGTGGCCTGAGAGCCTTGAACCAAAAGCTCTCTTTGCTACCAGGAGCACTTTGCACTAATTAGACTTCATAAAATTATTCCTGCTTCCATTTTCAGATGACAAACTGGAGAGTTGAGCTCAGCTGACAGACCAGAATTATGTCAGTTCAGCTTCAGAAATTGTTCTGAGGAAAAAATACAGTTTTTCTAACTTTATTTCCATCTAACATTGGGGAGAACAGCAAGTTATGGCTGTTCCCAAAAGAAATGATAAATTCCCGAGGCTCAGGGAGCAGGAGGTGTTTCCCACTCAGGTGGCATTTTAACCAAAGGTTGTTCACTTGCTGTCCTCCCCCCAGAGAACACAAACCCAGGGTCTGCCCAGCTCAGAGTCCTCTTCCCTCCCCAGTCACCACTGCAGATTACAGAGAGAGAAGCAAAAAAATCACTGCTGGTGAGTTGTTAATTTTTTTGCCATATTTTGGGGAGCTTCCATTCAGCCCCGATGCAGCTGTTGAAATAGCAGGAGCTTCATTTTTATTTTGTCTAATCCACTAAAAGATGTTCCTGTTATCCATATCCATGTGTGCTGGGCTCTTCTTAACCTCTGGACTCCATCTGTGGGATTCACATAAAATATTGTTACTATGAGGTGAGGCAGACTATTTTTATTTTATTTTATTTTATTTTATTTTATTTTATTTTATTTTATTTATTTTATTTTATTTTATTTTATTTTATTTTATTTTATTTTTTAATGTTGCAAAAACCAAACTCAAAACACACCAAGAAAACAAGATGGGGTATTGCAAATGAGCTCTGGATCCCAGAGCCAACCCAGTCAAAGAATCATGAAATGGTTTGGGTTGGAAGGGCCCTTGGAGATCACCTCATTCCAAGCCCCTGCCATGGGCAGGGATGTCACTCACCAGACACCAGCCCCGGATGTGAAGTTCTGAGTTGGTGTTTTGGAGATCCAGTGCTCAGATCAACGATTCACATCCCGACTGAGACAACACCTGGGTTTAAAAGGGAAATTTTGAGCAAGAGACGGTGGCCAAAAACATTTCAGAGTTTAAATTTATGCCAGTAATGTCCATGCTGCACCTCAGGAAAACCCTGACCTGCAGCCCTGTCCTTCCCATTGGATTCCCACAGGGCCGTGAAAAACAACCAGAATAAAACTGGTGTGCTTGGGAAGTGTCCTTATGAAAGATCCATCAGATTATTGTGATAGTTTCGTGTCCCTGGCTGTGGAGAAGGACACACAGCCTGGGCTGAAGTCTCAACTGTACTGGTGAGTACAAAGAGAGAAACTGGGATCCCAGAAAGCCAGGCTTGCAGGAATTTAGGCCAGTTAGGGAAATTCCAAAAGAAATTGAGGCTGTATAGTTTTATTTAACACTGGATGGAGTGGGAAGACTGGCAGAAACCTTCTGTAGTGAGTAATTGTCTGAATGCAGCAACAGCTCAGCAGCTCAGGTAAATCCCTCAGTGAGCTTTGAGGAGCTCAGCTAATCTGAGTTAGATGTGGGATAGAAAGGAAAACAGCAGGAATGTGCCTTGGATCTCAAAGGTCTGCACACTAAATGTTTGATGGCTGCTAATTTCTTTTCCTCGTGAAGGACGTGCATGTGGCATATCCTGTGGCTCCAGTTCCAGCTTTTTTATGGTCCTGTGAGTCATCCAGGCAGAAAGCGACTGAATGCTTTGATAAATACCTAATTTTAATAACAGGAATCATATATGCCAATAATGCCTGTGAAATGATCCCTACTTCTGCAGCAGGACAGCCTGACAGCATCAGTTGGGCTCTGGCTCCCTGAGCAAGTGAAATGCCAGGGAATTTTCTCAAACTTTACAGCACAGAAGGTCACCTGGAAGGGAATTTATCTATTTCAGAGCACCAATGGACTGGAAACAGCTTTACTGGATTTGAGATTGTGGTTCCAGGAAGTCCAGCTGTGTCAAATTCAATTCTTGGAGCACTAAATCCACCTTTATCATCTTTTCCCTGCTTGTCCTTGGGATTATCATGACCCTGAGGTCTCTTTATCTGTTAAATTCCAATGTGGCTGATGCATTTGAACTTCCCCCTAGCAGATCTCTCGCTGTACTACCTGGATTTCCCTCTGCCACCTTTCACCTGGGGAGGGCGGGTTGGAAAATTATAACCCTTAAAAATAAAATAAACAGAGCTGTGTCTCTGTCACTGACCTCTGAGCACGGGAAGGCCTTGTAGGGAGACCGAATAGACACAATCCATCTTCCTGCACAAAGTCCTGCCAACAGCAAAACTGCTGCAGCCTTAATCAATCTGGTATTACTAAAATGCCCCTCACATCACTCTCCACCTGACCAGCAAAGGCTTTTAACATTTAAAAGCTGCACTAAGTCTCTGTATATGTTTGGGACAAGGCCAAGTATCGAATGATGCCAAGGGATCGATATTCATGATCTAGAGCAGCGCTGTGACTTGGCCCTGCCCTACATAGTTCTCCATATGGCTCATTGGAAAACCTTTTAGAGGCTTAACAAGGAGAGCATTGCAGTGAACGTGGGCAAAAATGCACGAGGATAAGCACAGAGGCTCCAGGGGCCTGCTGGGGTCTCCGGTCTTACAGTAAGCCCTGGGGTTTAATGGGATTGGAGGAAACCCTCTGTGCAGGGAGGTGGGATGGAAGGGGTCGGACAGCTGTTGAACAAACACTCTGTAAACATTCCTGCTTGGCAAACACTAAGCAGACAGCCACGGTGGAGGCAAAGACCTGGAAGATCAACAAAGACCTGCAGGTCTGGGTGAAAAGCTGCACTGCAGCACAGTCAGTGGCAGGGCTCGGGGAACACAGGCTTTGGGATCCACAGGCTTTGGGATGCACTTGGGGCTGTGAGGGAGGAACCTTAATAAAATAACCAACAGGGTTTGGGGGCTGTGTGAGGGAGCAAGGTGAGGGTTGTGCTGTGCTGTGGGGACAAGAGGCAGAGATTAGCAGAGGTGGCTCTGGGGGCTCAGCCCCAGCTTCCCAGAAAAGTCCTGAGTGGTAGAAGGTGCCATGAGCTGGTGTGTCAGAACTGCACGTCCTGGAAAGGGCAAGAGGCAAATTAAAGCAGTTAACGCTGTCAAAACCCATTAGGAAAGTCAGATGTTGCCCAGAGGGACATGAGGGAGGCAGTGTCCAGTGCTGGTACCAGAGCACAGATGTCAGTGGTGTCTGAAAACAGTGGTGTCTGAAGTCCCGCCATGGGCTGGGGGGAGATTGTGTCAGATTTGTCCCATCTCCCTTCCAGAAAACCATGGAAATCTCAGAAAAGTGGGATTGTAGGAAGAAGGATGTGGGTATGGTGGAGGTGTCATCTTTTGGGGGATTCAGCTTCCTTAGCCTCCTCTAGGATGAGAGGACATGGCGTTATGCTGTGCCAGGGGAGGTTCAGGTTGGACATCAGGAACAATTTCTTCACGGAAAGGGTGATTAGACATTGAAAGGGGCTGCCCAGGGAGGTGGTGGAGTCATTGTCCCTGGAGGTGTTCAAGGAAAGACTGGACATGGCACTCAGTGCTCTGGTCTAGTTGGGATGGTGGTGTGGGGTGATAGGTTGGACTCAATGATCTCAAAGGTCTTTTCTGACCCAATTGATTCTGTGATTCTTTTGCTGCTCCTTAAGCTCAGTTTCCTATTTTAAAAGTTGGATTTTTCTTAAAAAATAATAATTAAAAAAAATCCCAACAAACAAAGCAAAAACCCAAAGCAAACCCCCAAGAGGGCCAGGGCCACCACTGTGGTCCCTTCCAACCTTACACATTCCATGTTTCTGCGGTTCCATGACTTGTCTTTCTAGGATAAACCCCTAATATGTGACTATAATTCAAGATATTCCAGAACCACCTGGACACAACCTTGGGATAACCCTGATGGAGCAGCGAGCTTGGACCTGATGCCCCACTGTGTTCTCTTCAATCTGACCCTTCCTGTGTGTCTGTGATTTGGGTCTTTCTAGGATGAACAGTTAATAAATCGCTGTAATTTGAGATACTCCAGAACCACGTGGATGCAATTCTGTTCCACGTGCTCTGGGATGATCCTGCTTGGGCTGGACCTACTGTGGTCCCTTCCAACCTTATACATTCCATATTTCTGCAGTTCTGTGACTTGTGCCTTTCTAGGATAAACCATTAATATGTCACTGTAACTTGAGATAGTCCAGAACCACCTGGACACAACCCTGTTTCATGAGCTCTGGGATGACCCTGCTGGAGCAGTGAGGTTGGACCAGTGACCTACTGTGGTCCCTTCATCCTGCCCCATCCTGTGTTTCTGTGACTTGTGTCTTTCTAGGATAAACCATTAATACGTCACTGTAATTTGAGGTATTCCAGAGCCACGTGGATACAATCCTGTTCCACGGGGATGATCCTGCTTGAGCAGGAAGCCTGGAGCGACTGTGGGTCCTTCCAACCTTAAGGTATTCCATGTTTCTGTGGTTCTGTGACTCGTGTCTTTCTAGGATAAACCATTAATATGTTACTGTAAGTTGAGATATTCCAGAACCACCTGGACACAACTCTGTTCCACGTGCTCTGGGACCTTGAGGTCCCCCTTCTGTGGTGCCTTCCAACCTTACACATTCTGTGTTTCTGTGGTTCTGTGACTCCTGTCGTTCTAGGATAAACCATTAATACGCTACTGTAAGTCGAGATATTCCAGAACCACCCGGACACAACCCTGTTCCATGTGCTCTGCTGGCCCTGCTTCAGCAGCGAGCTTGGACCAGATGCCCCACTGTGGTCCCTTCAACCTGACCCATCTCCGACTGGTGCCTTTCTAGGGCACTTACCACGCCCCTGTAATCTGAGGTTTTTTATTAGGGAAACAGGAGAGTATTTCCCCCGCGGAGGCACCGGGACGCCGCCGCTCCACGGGGCCGCCATGGCGGCCGAGCCCTGAGGGCGCGGGCCCGGCCATCTTGTCGGGGGGCGGAGCGGGGCCCGTCCCGCCCCGTGCTCTGCCTGCCGGGGCCGCCCGGCCCCGCCGCACTCGCCGCGGACGCCGAGGGGAGCGGGTGCTCAGCGGCCGCGGGGAGCGGAGCCCGAGGGGAGCGCTGCCGCAGCCCCAGCGCCATTGCCGCCCTCAGCCCGCGATGGCAGGTGAGCCCGTCCTCGCCCTCCTCCCGCCCTGGGGGAGCAGCCCCGCCGCGCTCTGCCCTCCCCGCCGCCCCGCAGGCTCCCGCCCGCTGGCAGCCCCGGCCCGGCCCCCCATCCCCGCGCGGCTCTCCCCGGGCTCCCCGCGGGCCGGGGGGTCGCGGGCTCCCCGCAGCCTCCACCATGTTGCCCGGCCGCGGTTCACCTTGGCCGCGCGGCGTCCGCCCCGTCCGCACCTCCGCCGCTCTGCCCCTCATTTCGTATTTCGTGTGCTAAATAAACCCTTCCATGGTCGCTCTCCTGCGGGCTCCGCATCGCCTGCAGGGGCTGGGGAAGGGGCGCGGGGGATGCCCGAGGTGGCACCTGCGGCGGGGTCACCTGCCCGCCGGGGCCGCGGGGGGATCGGTCCCCGGGGGGGATGTCGGGGGTTCTCTGCGTTCCTTTGGCATCGTTATTTTTTTTTATTTCATAATTGTTTGGTTTTTTTTTTTCCTCCTTTAATCTGAAACAAAATGGGTGGCAGAGCCGTGAGCTTGCAGATGGGATGGAGAAATGCAGGTTAATTCTCCCCTGGTCCTGAAGGGGTGGCCTCGCTCTTCCCTGATCCCGTTCTCGTGATACGCTTTAAAGGTTTTTTTTTTTCCCCCTTTTTTAATTATTTATATACCTTTTTTTTCCCCTTTCTTTTTCAGTGCACATCGAGGCAGTAAACATTTCAGTTTTCTGCTTTTGACTTGAGAGCCACGTTCGATATCATGTGTGGTTTTCTTTTGTTTTAAGGTACATTTTGGGTAGAAATAAGTGATGTATGTAGCTAAAAAAAATGCCTGAACAAAGCTTGTTGAAAGCCTTTGATTAGATTTCCTCAGTAGAATAACAACTAACAACCATTATCATTCATTCCTGTTATTAGTGGCTTTTGCTTTTTCTCGGAAAAGCTGGGAATGAGGCAGAGGCTTTGCAGTTTCATTCTTATCCCTTCATTTTGGAGCCGTCGGTGTCGTTTTGGAGACGGGGGAGCCCAGCCCTGGGGCAGTTTGGGTTCCCCTGGCCAGGTGAGTGCAGGCAGGGCTGACCCCAAAGGCAGAGCCAGTGGAAGATTCTGGCAGGGAAGGGAAATCCCCAGATGTGTTTTAAGACAAGGTAAAGACCTTGCCTTGTTAATTTTTTCCATCTTATCATTTCCCTCACGCAGCTGACTCTCACTACAGTTCAGTGCCAGGTAAATACAAGGTTTCCTGTTGCTGATGAGCTTTATTTTTCAATAAAAACACCAAATGCTGTGTTTTCACAGGGAGCTTGATATGTCTGTGTGTTCTCACTGCAGCACAGTGCTGCCAGGCTTGAGCAAGCTTTAAATTAACCAGTTTAAGCTTACAAAGTAAGCTGGTTTGGGTAGTGCTTTTCCTGGCAGGTGGAGTTTGATGCAGGCTGTAAAACGAAGTGGAGGAGCAGGACAGATGCTGGAGTGATGAGCTGCTGCTGAGCTGCCCAGTGTCAGAGCCAGACTTAACTGCACACCTTGATCTGCCAGGTGATTTCACTGGATCCAGGATTATTGCAACAAGTAGCTCAGGTTAGCAAACTGGAAAATAATCCTGGAGATATGTAGAACAATTGGATTAGTAGTTGATGAGCTCTCACCACCCCACTCCTACCTCCAGTCATGATCCAGATAGCTGGAAATTAGAGCAGTATTAACCTGGAGATGCACTGAAACAAATTCAACCTTGGGCGAGCAAGGAGGTTAAACAAACCCCGAGATTTCTATCATGGATTTAAACAAGCCTCTGGCATTAGTAAAAATGCCAGTAGGACTTAAAAACGTCTTGTCAGAGCCCTGGGGATAAGAGGAGTTAACACTGGGATTCTCAGGGGTGTGTTGTGCTCTTGCTGGGCCTTCACAGGCCGCATTCATATGGTTTAAAATCCATCGCAGTCTGTCACCGGGCTGTAAACCCTGCCCTGAGCCAGGCTTAGCTTTGCTGAGCTGCTCTCTCGAGGCACCCGGCTCTCACGGAAGGAGCAGGGTGGGAATGAGGTTCTCTGAGCACGGGCCTGTTGCTCCTTCTGCATCTTCAGCACGGAAATAGATTGGAGGGAAAAACGGCTTTTCAAATGGGATAATTGGGACTGCAGGTTGATGGGTGTTTCCTTTGAGGGCAATTTAAACAGCCCCCACCACCCCCTCCCAGCCCCGCAGTGACCCCTGGGTGGCTGCTCAGTCGGGGATTAGCCCATAAAAACCTTGTGTTTGTATGGAAAACCACATCTGTCTGGGGAATTTTTACCTACTCCTGACCCTCCCTGAGCCCAGGTAGATCTCAGTGTACCTCCCTAAATCCGTACTGGGTGGAATCTGTGTCGGGGGGGGGGGGGGGCTTTTTTAAACGGCTGAAATGATCATTTTTGTCTTCTGTAGTTTAGTCTAACAGGGAGTTGAGTTCCAGCGGAGAAACGAAAGTCGTGTCTTTGTTGGTATTGTTTGGGTGGAGAAGCTGTTCTTCAGGGGGAGCTTGAGATAATGGCAGTGTTTGAGGGTTATATTGGATTTTTTCCTAATAGAAAACTTTTAACTGTGGATTTTCCCCACGTTATTTAGAAGACTCGGTCGAAAATGCTGCATTTGTATGCAGTTGCCATTTCAAACGTTTTCTGCCTTCGATTCTGTCAGTATGTTTTGGTTTTTCATTGATTTTCTTCCTGGTGTAGCCAAATGTGCCAAGTTCCTCCATGTGCTGGACTGTCCCGTGGTGCTGTGTGGCTTTGTTGTGCTGTGTAGGTTGATTGGAGACCATTGAAAACTAAATGGGTGTAACTTCACCCATTCTCGGTGTGGATTCCTCCCCAAGGGGCTGTTAAGCTGCTCTAACGACCTGGTCCGACCTGCAGCATTTAACCTCTTCCAGTCCCGGAGTGCAGGGAAGCCACCTGGAACCCCCTTGGGTGACAAATCACCTGGTGTCCCACCCAAGGTGATTTTTGGAAGATCATTGAATCACAGAATGGTTTGGGTTGGAAGGGACCTTGAAGTTCGTCTCATCCCACCCCCTGCCGTGGGCAGGGACACCTTCCACCAGCCCAGGTTGCTCCAAGACCTGTCCAGCCTGGCCTTGGACACTTCCAGGGATCCAGGGGCAGCCACAGCCTCTCTGGGAATTCCATCCCAGCCCCTCCCCACGAGCAGAGGGAGGAATTTATTCCTGAGGAGATCTTATTCCTGTTCTGTGTGGGAACCACGTTAAGAAATCTCAAGCCCCGAAAGTTCCTGTGGGGCCGTTTCTTCCGTAGATTTATTTTGCTTCCAAACACTTTAGCATTTGTCCTTACTGGAGAAAATGCAGATGGCTGCACAGAGCCCTTGTTCTTCCGTTGAGGATGATGGTTTATATGTGGCTGGAAAAATGTATTTTTGTGTCAGGTGTTGTTCTTTATGAAGCCTTAGTGGTCAGGACACTGACTGACAAATTACAGGGGGGGTTATTTTACTTAAAAGCTGCAGGAAAAAAATATTGACAGTTAGGATGAGTAGAGAGATGTGCTCCATGATGTAGGGAAGGCAGGAAGAAATTATTCCATTGGAAGCTCTTGCCATGGACCCCAGCATTCCCGGGGTGAAGTGTGTTCAGCCACTGCCAGCCTGGTGGGGCTGCACTAAATATTTCTGTCAGTACCAGGGAGCACATTTGCTTTATGGCCAAATGCTGTCAGTTGTTGTGAACTGTCTCAGGACAGGACAGGCTTTCTTTGATGGCAGGAAAGAAATGTGATTGTGTTTGGCTGTTTTCAGGTTATGGGAAGGAAATGCTTGCTGTCTGAATGTTCTGCTGGAGGTGGATTTAAATGGGGATTTCTTGCCACGGTAATTTGGCCATGAAAGGAGCAGAGCTACTTCCTTGGAAGGGGAACTGGGGTGTTGAGACATCTCTGGCAACTGGTGGGGGAAGGAAGGAGGAGGGAGAACCCGTCTGCTGGTTCAGAAACCTCCTGTTCTAGTTTTATTTCTTCCTCAACATTAATCTTGACCATTTCTGTTGCCAAACAGCAACAAGAGTGTGTGTGGCACCAGGAATTCCATGTGCCTGCTCATGCACGACCTGTCCCTTGTGGCTTCCTAACCCGAGGTGCTCCAGAGGGCTGATGAGCTTATTTTTTGGTCCTGAATGTTGTCATCAGTCTCGTAAATAGTGACTCATCCTTCTCCCTGTTCTGCACAGAGCTGTGACTCTCTTCCTGGCTGTGCTGTGGCCCCAGAGCAGGGTTGGGCTGCTGGGCTTGGAGGGCTCTGGGATGGTTTTGGGAAGGAGGAATTGGCCACCAGGGTCCCAGCCAGGCTGTGCTGTGGAGTCCCAGAGCATGATTTGGTTGTCTCTCCATCCTGTGTTGTGGGAGAGGATGGAAATTGTGTTCCTATCCCACAGCTCCTCTGCTGCAGAATGACTGGGCTTGAGGTAATCGTAAAACTACTATTTAATGGGTTTATAATTAGAAACTCAATGATCTAAATCTCCCTGTGTCTCAGTTCTCAGGCCAGAAGATGCAAGTGCTGGCTTAGGGAGGGGAATGCACTTAACCAACCAAGCGTGTGCTCTTTTTAAAATTTTATTATTATTTTTAAAAACCAGCTTCAGGACAGAATAAACATTGTCCTATTTTGGTGAAAGGGAGTTTCACCAGAGTTCCTTCTCACCACATTCAGGCAACCAGGATATTTCATTCCTCCCCCAAAACCTGTGTTACTGTAATAATATCGATGTGTATTGGTAAGAGAGTTACACGGAGGGAGGGCAACTTGCGTGTTTTGGAGACTGATCCATCTCTCTCCTCGGATCGAGGGATGTTTTCATCTTGTACTTACGTCACCAAAACGCCTGAGAAAACAAGCTTTGTCTGAGAGTTGTATTTTTAGGAGCAGATGGGAGCAGAGGAGTCCAGTTGTAGTTGGGGAGGAGGAGCTGAGAGTGACCACAAGGTACCTGGGAGTATCTGAGCTCTGAAAGCAACAACTGGTTTATGTGTGTTTGGATTTATCCAGCATTTCCCTGTTATCTCCTCAGTGATAAACGGGACTGTTTAAATTTCTCACCCACTTTACACTTGCTTTAGATTAAAACTGCTTGAAGAATGGGCTGAAATGAGTCTAAGTGGTGATGGGGGGGTTGACTCACCATTATTTGGTTTTGACTGTTTGGAAATGTTCTGACTCACTGAACTGATGTCGACTGGCTCAATGTCCCCTAGTTTGCGATTTGTTGTCTGAATTTGTTTTTAAATCAAACTATTGCAGGGCCTGTGTCATTGCAAGAGTTGGCAGAAGCATTTTGGGAATGCCTGGTAGCAGGAAAGTAAGTGAAAAGTGACTTCGAGGTGGGG